AGGGATATGGGGGTCTTTATAGGGATATGGGGGTCTTTTCAGGGATATGGGGGGTCTTTATAGTGTCCCTCACCTCCCTCCCCCTTGGCTGTGGCCACTTACACGGGGTCTCCTCGACGCTCCCCCTGCCCAGGAGCCGTGCAGCCCCTGCTCCCTCCATTCCCCGCACTCCTGGCAACTACCTGCCGGTCTCACGCCCCCTCCAGCAGCCATCCGGCCAGCCCACCCGGCTCACTTCCTGCTTCCGGGCCGCTCATCTCGCGAGAGCCTGCGGATCTCGCGCTGCTACCCCGGTAACCAGGGGGAGAAGAAATCCCGTTGCCATGGCGACCGCCGCCTGTCTGCTGTGGAGCAGGCTTGTCTGTCACGTGACCCAGCCCAGGACATGTGGATGTGATGCATTGTCCATGTCTGGGGAGAACATGTCACATGTCACACACAAACACAGGGATAGTCACTAAAATAAGAATTAAAGTCTGGGAATAAAGGTGAAATCAAATTGGGCCAAAGTAGCCCAACTGGGAAAATGATCCAAGTCTGCTGTGTTTTCAGATTATTTAGAGCAAATATTTGCCATTTACTTTGAATTCCTGACAAGTCACTCTTTATTGAATTACCAGTGAGTCGCCATAAAGGTGACAACAATAAAATGTCCCTTGGAACGAATCTCCTGCCGTTGCCCGTCTACACATTCCTGGTATTCGTGATATGCTTTCGCCATAGCCCTATAACAATCTCCTCAAGCTGTCGCTCCAGCCATGATGAGATAGTCAGTCGGTAATCTGTGCTCTGATTCAATGATTCTTGGAGAGAAGCGTTACGAATCCACAACGTATTTGCGCAGAAATCGCAGAGCTCTGACAATCTGAAGCATTGGACACATTTAGCGTCGTCACGATGATGGTTTGATGCTTCAGAATGTGACCACCTTTCAAAATCAAAGGACTTAAAGAAACAACCTGGGCACCATAACAAGTTCATCAGAATGAAGTAGTTATGGTGCCATGAGGTACCTGAGTGCTGACGTTAACGTTAACAAACAGTTTAAACCCAAAGTCTTGAATCTGGCGCCTCTTACCTCTTCCTACGAACATCCGTTGCTGTTCGGGGCTTGAACTAGAAAGACTCGGACAGGGGTGACACTGAAAGGGTTAGAGTGTCAGCTAATGCTCTTAGCTTATCATTAGCTCCCCATTCACAAAACGGCTTGGGAAAAATACATATGATTTTCAAGCATTTTCTGGCGTTCCTCCTATTTGTGCCTATTTATTAATTTATTTGTGCGAAAATATTCATTAGTGTGCCTCTTAGTCACTTTATTTTTTTGTTATATTTAGTTTTTTTCAAATCTTGGAAAGACCCTCCATAGTGACGTCACTGCTTGGTGTCTGGTGGCCCAGGGGAGCAAGGAAAGATAAGTTTTACTTGCCTAAAGCTGTCCCTCGTGGCCGCTGACTTATCAATCCAGCAAAATCCTTTCCTGTTCCTGGCATTTCAGCTGCCAGGAGCCTACGTTAGTGTTGTACCCACATGCATGCGCGAGAGTACACCACTGAGATTTATGGAAGATCCAGAGAGATTGTGGGATTCTCGACAGACAGAACCTTTTTCCCCTCAGCCATCACTTATGATAGGTGCTGGAACTGACCAAATTTGATGGAGGTAACTCCTCCTTTTGTCAAGTTTTGTCAGCTGTAGGAAAAATGCGTAAGACAAAGTAGTCTCTACGTTATCTCGTGATATATTTTGACTGTGCTGAAATTTTAGTGAAATTCAAACACAGTCAATGTGAGTGTTTCATAAAGATTTTATGATTATAAAATATTCAAGTTTGTTTTTGTGTGTATGTGTTTTGAGTGACAGAGCAACTTTACTAATTTGGAAAAAACTTCTGCTCAGTGACCGTCACATTTTGGTTTTCAATTCCCTACAATTTAATGTTTGTTGAATAAACCCTATGACATACGTTCGATAGAATCTGTTTGTTTTCATCCACTTGTTAATTGAACACTATAGTGTCAGAATATAAATATCCTGACATTGTAGTACTAAAATTGATGTTTAGGTCCCTGGCCTTGTTTTAGACCAAACCAAGTGTTTGAATATCTGCCCCTGTCCAAATGGTTTAACTATAATAAAGCGTGCACCCCGAAAAAATCACACTGACACAGAAGAGTTCAATTAAATGAAAACTTCCAAGTGTATTGTCAGGGGGCGGCGTAGCCCCTTAAAAAGGCAACATATGCAAATACAGAAAGTAGAGTTTTCAATTGGTTAAGTGTTACGTGTTTTAGTAAAGTAAACATTTAATTGGTTAGGTATTAAGTGCCTAACCTTGATGGACTTCCTCCAGAGGGTATTGATGTCATTGTCATCTTAGGTGTAACTCCGGATGGAGACGCCATCTTACTACACGAGGGTCTTGGTCAATGGGAGGGGGTGCTCTAGCAGCCATTTTGAGTAATAAATAAACACAGGTATACATAGTAAATAGACATTTTACACACATTAATTTCTATCCATCACAGTCTCTCTGTAGAGATTAAAGGTTTAAAACTTGCCTTTTCTTCCTCGCCTTTCCAGTCTCTCTACGGCCACCCTTGGTCCCGACTCTATAGCTGTGGTCATCAATCATGATTGCTGAACCTAGGTACCGTACACTGTGCAGTACTGCGATAGGAAGCACCTCTAGTGGACGTCTGAGGGACTGCAGTGGCATAACCAGAGTTACGGTCGGGCGAGGCAGAAAATATTTTCTTAGCCTGCTTCCATACTTTTTTGGTCCATGAAGATGGCTTCCCTGGGGTCCAGTGACATCTGGCTTGGTCTGAGGGGAGTCGGATCCAGGCACTCCTTCCTCTATGGTCCTTTCTCTTGGTCTCCTTCCCCTCTGATACATTCCTCTCTCCCTCAGATCGTTGGTACAATGCACTTCCTCCCAGAACCAAGGCTTCACACAGAGCACGGGCCCGGTTGCACTGTTAAAAGGCTGTGCCCCCTGACCACCCCCCTGATCAAAGATCATTATCGGGTGGCCCCAAGCTTGCAGGAGGTCGTTGCACCACATGGCCATCACCCCTCTGATTTTTTTGCCTGGGGCAGCCACACTACAACCCACCCGGTACTTACGCCACTGAGTGACTGCCACTAGCGGTATTACTAGGCACAATTGTAAAAACTCCCTTTTCTTTGAAAAGGCAGTGTTTACATAAAAAAGCCTGCAGGGACATGTTATAGACACCAGAACAACTACATTAAGCTGTAGTGGTTCTGGTGACTATTGTGTCTCTAAAAACACTTCTCTTTGGTTACTCTCATTGAGACAATGCGTTAGTAGGACAAACTGATTAGAACAAGTTTATTTATATAAAATCTGTGATAAGATAGACTATGCAGCACATCTAGCAATACAAATGATTAATAGTGTATTCCTTCTAAAGGAAAATTAACTTTCTCTTCCTAAAATAATAGGTACAGATGTGGGCGAAACAGGATGTAAAAAGAGATAATTGCAGCCATATACGCAATCTGAAAGTTCACAGTGATCCTATTAAGGCAATTAAAGTGATTAATTTGTTACAGGACAATTAGATATTGCCAGGTGAGGTCAGTGAATGTGTAATAATGAAGATTTATGCTCAATAATGCATATACAAAACTGACATAATGCCTCAGCTTTCCCTGAGATTTTCTTTTGTTAAGAACTTTCTCATTGAATGCGATATAAATCAAGTTGCGATGGAAAAAACCATTGGTTAACTCTTTCTATCCCTGCGCGCGCACTAAAAGGGAATTAGGTGTGCGGTTAAAACGTTGACGTGTTATTCACTCACGTGTGAATTGTTGGCATTCAAAGAAAATTTAAAGTGAATTTCATAACATAACTAAACTGACATCTAGGACAATATTTTGACTAGGACATTTCCAGTTCTTGTAATTTGGTCTAAAATTTTAAATCTCCTTTGAAATAATGTTACATAGTTACATAGTTACATAGCTACATAGCTGAAAAGAGACTTGCGTCCATCAAGTTCAGCCTACCTCACATTTGTTTTTTGCTGTTGATCCAAAAGAAGGCAAAAAAACCCAGTTTGAAGCACAATTTTGCAACAAGCTAGGAAAAAAATTCCTTCTTGACCCCAGAATGGCAGTAAGATTTATCCTTGGATCAAGCAGTTATTACCCTACATTGAAAGATTATATCCTTGAATATTCTGTTCTTGGAAGTATGCATCTAGTAGCCGTTTGAACATCTGTATGGACTCTGATAAAACCACTTCTTCAGGCAGAGAATTCCACATCCTGATTGTTCTTACAGTAAAAAAACCTTTCCTTTGCCTTAGACGAAATCTTCTTTCTTCCAGTCTAAACGCATGGCCTTGTGTCCTATGTAAAGTCCGGTTTGTGAATGTCCGTTCATAGTTTAGGTAATACCTCTGTGTGAGCTAGTAGGATTGTGGGACGAGAGAGGTTTTTCAAGACTTAGATCATTTGAAGCTTATTTGGGTCTCCAGTGTACAAAAACAGGCAATTTAGTCAGTGACTAAAAACCACATGTAGAGTACATTTTTCTGTTACGCCATCTGACCTCTCACAGTTTAGAATGGACTGTAACACATTTGTAGAGTTTATGAGAGATACGTGAAATGCCATATGAGGGTTAGTACAGGTACCAAAGATCACTGATAGGTGTAGCCTTGTGTGTGTAATATCCTTGGTGGTCTTCTGCCCAAAATACGGCTATTAAAATAGAATGTACAAACGAGCACGTAAGGGATGGATTCTTCTTCCTCCATAGTTTGTTGGTTGATTCTTCTCCACTTACACATTCCTGATGATATAATACCAGAATCTCCTAATTGAACCTCATTCTTATCAACAACAGAAGACTCTCACACCATCACCTCTCATCAATCACAGATAATTTTAAAACGCATGGTACAATCAGAAAGAAAGGGATGACTTCAGAGACACAACATTGACGGCCTGATAGTCTAAAGATGGCAAAGTTGCGGATCAACGAGCGGTCTGACCCGTGGCTAGAAAGAGTTATTGCAACCTTCGACTGGATCTGTGAAAGTTTCTGGTCCCGAATGTCTCAGAGATTTAGGCAGCTGAAACACGCTGCCCACCCTCTGGAGGGAGACGCAGGTCTGTGCGGAGGGAGGCCCCAAGCACATACACCAGGTATGTCTGCTGAAACCAGTGATATGGCTCCTCTACAAAGCCTACCTGACCGGAGAGCCTACAGAGGGAAGACCTCGCTGCACCACCCACGACTGCGGAGAAAACCTTGGTGGAGGCTTTGGAGACCACAATCTCGATCCAGGCCCCTGAGAAGACTCCTGAAGGGGATGGACTTTAGTACTTCTAGATACTGGGTCTGTGGAAAATTGGTGCCAGATCCTCTTCAAACTCGGGGCTGGCGTGATAACCTTATGTGGCCTACCCAACGCTGCTCTTGATTAGACTGGGCATCGGCTGGCGCATACATGCTACTGGGACTCCCGGTTCTCTCATGACCCCCTATATGGCAATTACAATTTTACATTTGGTCGGAGTCGATCCTGTGGTCACTAGATCTCTGACTGCTTATGTCAAGCTTTGCCTATTGCTTCTGTGTTTGCTGCTTTGGCACTGTGTGTTCTGTGATCTATATTATCTTGTCTACCATATCAGCTGCTAGGTTTTCTATTTTGTCTAGTGTCTTTTATCTAGCATTACCTTGTAGGCATAAGTAAAAAAGAGTTTATTATTTTATCCTAAAAATGTGGTGCCTTAGCTTATGCTTAAAGGACCACTCTAGGCACCCAGACCACTTCAGCTTAATGAAGTGGTCTGGGTGCCAGGTCCCTCTAGGATTAACCCTTTTTTTTTTTTTATAAACATAGCAGTTTCAGAGAAACTGCTATGTTTATATAAATGGGTTAATCCAGCCTCTAAAGCCTCTAGTGGCTGTCTCATTGACAGCCGCTAGAGGCGTTTGCGTGCTTCTCACTGTGAAAATCACAGTGAGAAGACGCAAGCGTCCATAGGAAAGCATTGTAAATGCTTTCCTATAGACCGGCTGAATGCGTGCGCAGCTCCTGCCACGCATGCGCATTCAGCCGAAGAGGAGGATCGGAGGCGGAGAGGAGAACTCCCCGCCCGGCGCTGGAGAAAAGGTAAGTTTAACCCCTTTCCTCTCCCCAGAGCCCGGCGGGAGTGGGACCCTGAGGGTGGGGGCACCCTCAGGGCACTATAGTGGTCCTTTAATTTACCTTAAAGGACCACTATAGTGCCAGGAAAACATACTCGTATTCCTGGCACTATAGTGCCCTGAGGGTGCCCCCACCCTCAGGGTCCCCCTCCCGCCGGGCTCTAGGGGTTGGAAGGGGTTAAATTTACCTCTTTTTCCAGCGCCGGACGGGGGACTCTCCTCCTCCTTCTTGCGCGCATTCAGCCAGTCCATAGGAAAGCATTCACAATGCTTTCCTATGGATGCTGGCATCTCCTCACTGTGAAAATCACAGTGAGAAACGCGGAAGCGCCTCTAGTGGCTGTCAATAAGACAGTCACTAGAGGCTGGATTAACCCTAATATAAACATAGCAGTTTCTGTGAAACTGCTATGTTTATAGAAAAAAGGGTTAACCCTAGCTAGGCCTGGCACCCAGACCACTTCATTAAAGGACCACTATAGTGCCAGGAAAACATACTCGTTTTCCTGGCACTATAGTGCCCTGAGGGTGCCCCCACCCTCAGGGACCCCCTCCCGCCTGGCTCTGGAAAGGGGAAAGGGTTAAAAACTTACCTTTTTCCAGCGCTGGGCGGGGAGCTCTCCTCCTTCTCTCCTCCTCCTGGGCTGAATGCGCACGCGCGGCAAGAGCTGCGCGCGCATTCAGCCCGTCGCATAGGAAAGCATTTACAATGCTTTCCTATGGACGCTTGCGTGCTCTCACTGTGAAAATCACAGTGAGAAGCACGCAAGCGCCTCTAGTGGCTGTCAATGAGACAGCCACTAGAGGATTAGGGGGAAGGCTTAACCCATTCATAAACATAGCAGTTTCTCTGAAACTGCTATGTTTATGAAAAAATGGGTTAACCCTAGATGGACCTGGCACCCAGACCACTTCATTAAGCTGAAGTGGTCTGGGTGCCTAGAGTGGTCCTTTAAGTTGAAGTGGTCTGGATGCCTATAGTGGTCCTCCCAGTAATGTGTATGAGTGTATAACAGAGCTCCACAGCAATAATACTCCTAGTAATGTGTATGAGTGCATAACAGAGCTCCACAGTAATAATACTCCCAGTAATGTGTCTCTAAAAACTAAAATAAATGTGTTTAGAAATCAGTCAGTGTAAATAAGATACATTGTTCTTCTTCTAAAGTACATTTTAATTGCATAAAATGTTATTAGTAAGTCACCTAAAATTTCTTAGAACCGCCCCACCCCTGGCCAGTGGATTGTTCCAAACAGTCAAGTGATTTTTTTTCTAATCCATTAAAACACATACACAGGTACTCACATTTGCAGCTTTGGCAGTGAGCTCACAAACACAAAACTCCCTCTGTTTTTTGTCCCAAAGCTCTCATAACTTTCTATGGGAAACTGACTGAGGTATAGTCAGAGCTACGTTAGTTTAGCTAACATTTACAATTTAGCTTTCAAATCAGTACAATTTAATTAATAAAAGCTATTAAGGTTTAAGTTGAAGCAGTGTGTGCGTGCATGCGTGCGTGTTGTATGTGTGTCTATTAAGCAATGTGAGATGTAATTGATATTTCGCATATTTTGTTATTTTTAAATAAATCACCAACATGTGGACCTGAGAGGTTTATTTTGATTGTCCCCGTTTGATGAAACTCGAGCTCCACATTTTTAAGTTAAATATATGCAAAAATCAAAAACACACCACATAATACTTCATCAAACATGCATAAAACTGTCAGCGCCCAAATAAATCACACCAATTAAGTTGCTATGGATTGGTTTTGCATTTATTAATTTAATCAGCACTGGATTTGCTTGCAGACTCCGGGGAGATGAATTGCTGTCGCTGGGTTCACATTAAGGGAGGTTAACCCTGTATGTTCGCTAAGTTAACTTAATTTGCTTTTTCAGTTGATCAATCAGATTACTAGTTTAACCATGTAACGGCCAGGATTGTAAGTAAATATATATATATATATATATCTCCCAATAGGGATGAAACTGATATTGCTAATGCTGAGACATCGGTGCATCTGTAACCCACGGTTTTGTTTACACAGCTCAAACAATATCAGCACCATAACCAATAGAACGGCATGTCGTGGTTATGGAGCTTAACCCCTTAAGGACCAAACTTCTGGAATAAAAGGGAATCATGACATGTCACACATGTCATGTGTCCTTAAGGGGTTAAATCGTCTCTTTAACCCCTTAAGGACACACGACATGTGTGACATGTCATGATTAGAGATGTCGCAAACTGTCCGCCGAACTGTTCGCGAACTGTCCGCCGGCGAACAATAGCATGTTCGCGTTGGGCGAACATATCCGATTTCCGGTCCGCCCCCTATACGTCATCATTGAGTAAACTTTGACCCGGAACCTCACAGCCAGCAGACACATTCCACCCAATCAGCAGCAGACCCTCCCTCCCAGGAAGTGTCTGCTGACTGTGAGGTTCCGGGTCAAAGTTTACTCAATGATGACGTATAGGGGGCGGACCGGAAATCGGATATGTTCGCCCAACGCGAACACGCTATTGTTCGCCGGCGGACAGTTCGCGAACAGTTCGGCGGACAGTTCGCAACATCTCTAGTCATGATTCCCTTTTATTCCAGAAGTTTGGTCCTTAAGGGGTTAAACTTTTTGCATATGGGGAGTTTGTTATTATGTTAACCCAATTTCTAGAAAATGTATAGAATATTCTCTCCCAACAGCCTGTAGACCGGGGGTAGGCAACTTGCTTAACTCCAGATGTTGTGGACTCCATCTCCCATAATGCTTTACAGCTATAATGCTGGCAAAACATCAGGGGAGATGTAGTTCACAAGATCTGGAGTGCTGAAGATTGCCTTTTCGTGCTTCAAAGCTCATAGAGTTCCACTTACCTTTCTCTAATCTCCAGAGTTGCTTTTCACCTGCAGAGAAACTACTTATCTACAGGTCCCCATTCTGTAGCAATGTAACTCTGCAGAGAAACTGTAAATAGCAGCTCATCTCTTTTCCCACCGTCAACAATTCAAACATTATGGCTGCGTTCCGGTAGAGAGGGGGAACTCAAGGAGGGCTCAAAATGAAATAAGCTCACTACAGGATTTCTTTACAGTCTGCAATGTCCTTCATTGTACAGGAGTTTTGTGTAAATATTCTGACTGGAAGTGAACGTTCTGAAGATATAATTTGAAAGCTGCGTTCTGAGAAATCCCATCCGGATCCTTGCAAATATTCATAAGCATAGAATCTGGACATTTTTCTATATGTGACAAAATCTTCTATGAATATATTTAAGGGAAGAGGTGCAGTGTATATAGGGGTGCAGTCTGTGTGAAGCAGTGTGAATTTTTTTTTCCCAATCAATTTGTTTTAATAATCAAGATGGTATTACAGGATATAACATTTCATAAAAATCACATGTTCCAATAGTTTAAATATTACAATAAGTGAAGCAGTACATCAAGGCAAATAATCGTGTTAATATGTATAACACAGAAACATATGTCAGTTTATAACTTAAGGACATATAGCAAATTATTTCATTTTCATATATGTCAGAAGAAATAGTATCCATTTTTGATTTGTCTGTATTAAGTCAGGAAATTACTGTAGTAAATGTATCTCGCAAAGTAAAAGAAGGCATAAACTAAGTAATTTGCTCCTCAAAAGAAGGAAACGGCTCAGTTGGTATCACACTTTTCATCTTGTTAAATTGTTTTGTTTATGCTAATGACTTTGGGTTGTATGTCAGTTTAGAAGTAATAAAATATCGTAGAACGTTGCAAATCTGGCGGCAAATTTCAGTTTAGTTTTAGTCGTATTTTAGTCATCTGATTTGTTTTAGTTTTAGTCTAGTTTTAGTCGAATAAATCTAAAGAAAAAATGTAGTCAACTAAAATCTGACCAAAATTGGTAGTTGACAAAATTAACACTGGTGTGAAGGATGCAATGTGTGTGGGAGCTCGAGTTTATTCATGCCTAGGGCAGCACAAAACCAAAATACACCACTGTGTAGGGCAGTGGGTGTGTGTAGGGTTGCCGTGTGTGAATGGGTGCCATTTGTGTAAGGGTGCAGTGTGTGTGAAGGGGTGCAGGGTGTGACTGTGTTGGGTGTGGGAGGAGAGATGGGAGCAAAATGTATATTTTGTTTTTTTGTTTTAGAAAAAAAAAATCTTTATATCCCCCTCCCTTTCTTCCTGCGTTTGCCAGGGTGGGTGAACATTGCAAACCCTGGTGGTTTGCTGGTGGTGAGTGGCTCTGCTGGCAGCTCCTCTGGCTAAA